ATGCTACAATGTTGGATTCAGAAAAAGATGTTGAAATGTCTGAAAGGTCGGATGCAGGCGAGAGCGTATCGGGAGACCAACAAGACCTCCCTCATCCTTGGCCCTATCTCAAAGAATCTTTCGAAATAGTCGAAAAATTGAGCTTTCAATTCATATAGTGGCATCTGGCTTTTTTTTCAAAGGTTACTTTATACTTTTATACTTTAAGTCGTTTTTGGAGCACATGCTTTTTCACTTTTACTTGAGTAAAAAGGTAAAAAGGAGTAAAAAGTTGATACTTCAACTTTTACCAGAGCGTTTTTAAACTGCAGTATCTATACTTCTACTCAAGCAACAAATGTGTGTACTTTGGACACCACTGTTGACAACAATAGATGTTTTAAGGTCAGTAACTTTTATTGGTTTGAGGGTAAAAGAGGTCTGAGTTTAGAGGGGACATTTTTCTGCCCACCATGTTTCCATGCTTTGGTGTTGTTCTCTGCAGCCCCGCTCTCTTTACTGCTTGTCATGATGCGTTCCTCAAACTTATCACTTGCCTCTTTTCTCTCGGTTTCTATTTTGTTGGAGCCTAGGGAGGGGTGGGATGTCAGTGGACAGAAGGATTACTGAACTTTCAAAAAGACTTATATGCCAGTGTTCTGGGTGTGTGTGTGCTTGGGGGGTATTGTGGCACTGAAACCCCTGATGTGGAGACTGAAGCGATGGGACAATGCAGGCTTTGTGTCCCCAGTCCCCATGTCCTTGGTCTGCTTAGTAGTCTTTTCAAAACTCATAGTAGGAAAGGAGGCTGGGGGAGGGAGCTACCTGTGCTGACTGGGTGTGAGAGAGGGACAGAAAAAATGGATAATGTGAAATCTTTGAAGAGTTACTCGCCTTTAGAATCCTCATGTTACCGATGAAAGATCGAAGATCTGATGCAAGATTTGCCAGCATTATTTTAGAGTCATTGGTGCTGTAAACTACCACATTTTGTAGATTATTTACATATGTCTCATGAGCTTCAGATTAGAGTGCTGTGGGTAATTTCTCTGTTGTTTATCTGTTCTAATCTGACTTTTTCCTCAATTTTATTCCATAACTGTGACAACAAGCTTTTTTTTTTTTTTTTTTTTGCATTTATTTTGTGCATGATTAAACAGAACACCAGAAGCAACGGTGACATCATATGCTGTGTTGACATTTACTAATGTGTTTACCATTTTAAATTTGTGGTTAGCATGATTATCATGCATCATTATTTGTAAACGGCTGGTCATTAAAGCTGGAGGGAAGCGGCTGTTCTAAGGGTTTTAGTTCCGAATTCTCCTAAGTGGTGCACGACTTTACACGAGTGACTAAAGTGAATGTGATTGGTCGATTATCAAGGGGGCGGGATTGTTGTGGCAGAAGGTTCGCAAGTAAGTTTGGTTGTGGCCTGTGTCTCGGAAGCATCTTGCTAACCAGTTAGCCACTTAGCGCTAATGGGTTCCTAATGGGGAATTAGATTGGAACCAAGTAGCGCTTAGCAATGACACTGTCAAGGAACGCTATGGACAGCGGAAACATGCAAGAGGAGGAGAGTTTTGTGTCGGAGGTGGATGAGTCTCCTCCGTCATCCATTTTTTATTTAGAGGAAGAAAGTGGGGACGAAGTTACTTCTGCCAGGGCGACAGAAGCTTAGTTTGGTGTAGAAGGCTTAGAGCCGTACATGTTTGAGCCCTTGCCTCGCAACGCTGCAATTTCTGTTAGTTCTACGCCTGCTGAAGACACAGACGTCCATCCCCGTCAACACTTTGATGGTACTCAGTGGTAAAATAAATTATTCTTATTTCAACCATTGCGTATATTAGCTGCGACATATTAATCAAGATGCTATGACCGAAAAATTTTGATTGACAGATGACCCTTGATATATGATTGGCCGAATTTAGGTGTTCAGGCTGACGTATAACTAACCGGCCTGCATAAAATAACGAAGAAGAAAAAAAGATTTTAAGACAGGATTTTTATTTTATAGAAATTTTATAACTTTTGGGACAATATGGTCTGATAAAGAGAACAGTTATATACATGTTTAAGCCAGAATGATTTAAAATTTAAATATGTCTTTAAAGCTGAACAAATTTACCAAAAATCAGAAGAGTTTGAACCAAAATTGAGATTATGATTTTATTTTGATTTTACTTTGCACTAACAGCATGCATAATGGCTTTGGGTTTTGCTTCAGGGTTTCATTGTATTCATGGCCTTAAATGCTCTCTTGCTCAGAATCTGTTGTTGCAGGACTTTCTAGCTCCCAAGCAACTCTCTCCTATTTTCTGCAAATCCATTTACAGCATATTTCTGCCACCTAAAGGGCTGAATGGTCAAGTTTTACTCTCTTTAAGCATAACAAGAACACAAATTGAGTTTCTATTTAATATGGAAACTGCATTTTCCTAAGCTGTAATAGGAATAGGTCCCGTTTTGACATTTGAAATCATACTTTACTGATACCTCGTAAAGTTTGTGTTGGTTATCAGTGGTCGATATATTCCATCATCAAATGTTTAAAAGTTTCAAGATTTTTTCTCCACTTGTGTTCGTCTCAGACAATGAGACTGAAATGGACACAGGTGTGCTAAAGGTTCTGAAGTTAGGGCTGTTAAGTTTATAAACTAATGAGAAGATCACTAAATACTTCTTTGGATTAGAAATATGAAAGAAATGTTCAAGTAAATATATAAAAAGAAGAGTAATACTCGCGAGCACTGTCTTTTATTTAACACTCTCTCAGCTCATTACATCTTAATTGTACTGGTTAAATAGAAAAAGTAAAGCCACCTTGCCTTGGCCTTTTTCTGGGATAAATTCAGTTTTGTACCCTTCTAAAACTAATAATGGTGCATAAATCTATTCTGAATAGGATTCTCATGGGCTTTTTCCATGCATGTGCTGCTACATCCTTGAATGTTTATGGTTTAAAGCTCACTTGTGCGATTATTGTACTTAAAGCATGTTGACTCTTTCCTTTTTTTGCCATATGTAATTTAGCGGGACTCTGCATGTAACAACAAACATACAGCAGAAAATAGAGGAACAAAAAAACAAGAAAGAAAAGAGAACATGAATAAACACAATCCACCTTCTTCTCAGCTTTTAAGCTGTGAATGGTTGAGCGTTTATGAATGAGCTGTGGAGCCATTTAGGTGCCGAATTGAAAAGACTTTTCACTAATATAAAAAGACTTGAAAATTGCTAATAATAGCCTCTAATGTAAAGGTGCAAACACACGCAAGAACCTTTGTAATGGTCACTGTTGAGACATTTAGAAATTTAACTGTATATCAAAGCAGCTATGTGTTTTTTAATGAGCCATTTGCAGCTTGCTCCCCCCTCCCTTACCCAGTGGTGCCTCCATCCTCCCCCGACATGCATGCAGTGCTCCTCTCCTGGCTCATTTGCACCTGTGAAGGGGACAAAAAAAAGAAGAGAAAAAAAAAAAGCACTCCCCACACCTAGATCCACTGCCATGATCCGTCCCCCTTCACCCTACTCTGGTTGGGACTTGTGCTGATTTCTTCAGAGTAGTGTTGGTCATGAAAGAGAAACAGATGGTTCTCTAAATGGAGATAATTCTACATCCACGGTCACCAACGTTGGCCTGGCTGCGCTCCCTCGGTAAGCTCTAAATAGTCTGACTCAGATTTTCACACATTAAGTGAGGAAAACATGGCTGCAGATGGAAACTGATCCACAGATAAAGTAGAAATACCTTGATAGCAATGGTGTGAAGCTACTTTTATCTGATAAAAGGCATTAAGACTAAGTTTTAAACTCCTCCAGAGGGTGTATACCTCAATCTCAGCACCCTGTATTTAAAGCAATTTCTCATTAGATCCTTTCAATTAGAAACGGTATAATGTGTGCTACATATTGTGTTTCTTAAAGGATTATTTCAGGCTTTAAAGAGGTTATAGTTGTTTGGGTTTTACATGGTAATTTATTTTCCCTCTCCTCTGACTTGTGAAACTTCTTTGCGACGTCTCAAATAAGCGTTGTATTGGTAGTGTGGAGTCTGGCACCTTTGTTGGAGAAAACCCTCAATTTCCTCTTCCCTTTCTTTCCTTCAGCCACATGTAAACAAACCCTTGGAGTTTACCACTTTATAAGGGCTCTAGATAACGTTTTCAGTACCGTTTCAGACCCCCCCACCCCCCTTTCAAACGCACATTTTGTCATTTCATCTTTCCCATTTCTTATTAGGAACCAAACACTTTGAACCCGTGTAAAGTATCAACCTTATTTTACTTCTGGTGGCTATTCAATATTTTGCTAAATTTTGGAGACCAATAATCATTAAATGATTAGATCTATGTTGTTGTATGAAGACTTCTTTATTTCTTTTTCTATTTGGGCCAATTTACTGTTATGAAATATGACCAATCATGACCATAACACCAGGCTAGGAGTTATGGTCATTTTCTGAGTCATGATTTCATTCATGAGTCAGGAATTTTGGCCCTACATAATGTAGAAATGTGCCTACATTTTGTAAATAATAATGTAAAAATTATTTAGTAAAAAAACGACTATTGAGCCGATGTGACAAGTGAATTTCTCCACTGTAAGATCAATAAAGCCTATCTTATCTTAATGAGCAAGTACTGTTTAATACCCTGTGCAATAATCCTGTTAAATAAGAGACTTCAGCTGTTATAGTTATCTCATCACCTCACTGTTGTTTTTTACCTGTTACCACTTTAATGTACAACACCAAATCCATATGTGTATTAGTCACCTTAAAGCTCTGCCTTATTTATTTTTTTCCTCTCGATCCGTTGTATAATGTGGATGCACCCCATTGAACCAATGTGACAAGTGAATTTTTCTTATCTTATCTTAAAAACCCTTACAATTTCTCTATATATCATATCCCCCACCCCCAATTCTTTACAGGTCTTGATGTTTAGACCAATAAAACCAAAGAGATAACTTTTAGTTCAACAAAGCTAATTCTTTATGGTTCATTGTCTCTGCAGCTGTGTCTAACCTGGATGAGGAGAGCAAATGGACAGTCCACTATACAGCTCCCTGGCATCAACAAGAGAACGTCTTCCTCCCAGGCAGCAGGCCGCCCTGTGTAGAGGACCTCCACCGGCAGGCAAAAGTCAACCTCAAAACTGCTTTGCGAGGTAAAAACCTAAATTGAGTGCCTCAAAAAATGCTCTCTTAGACGTTTCTTTGGCCTTACATTTGTTGTGGTATTTTTTTTTGCCAGTTAACACTGTTAGCATTACCAAAAGAATAGATAAAACACCTTATCTGATTTTAAAAGGGTGTTTTATCCAGGAGCAGCAGATGTTTAAAGGTCTTCTTCACTCTGTTCAGCCTTCTTGTTGTCTGCTGAGAGTCTTGCTCTCTCTCGCTCTCTTGCAACCTCAATAAACTGCAGAAATGTTTTGAAGTGTCATAAAAAAACACTTTAATCACCATGCTAACATGGAGTTAATTTTCCTCAGTAACAACCTGCACACTGAAGAGCAATGTTGTCATTGTTCCGCTAAGATGAATTCACAAATTGTACAAAAATCAAACTTTTGCGTTTTCCAACTGGCTTGTGGCACACTTTTTTAATATGTTTTGGTCGGGGGTGCAATTTATACTCCAGAACCAATTATAAATTGAAAATATACTGATAGATTTTCAATGAATCTACCGTAATAAAACAATTTTACGTGACATTGTTGCTCCGTGTTTTAAAAAAGCCACCGGAAACAGAAATGCAATGCATCATTGACATTGTAGTGTGGCGGCCTCCCTATAGGTCACGCTGGTCATGATCAACCAGAGATCATAATAAAATAAATACCATAACATTCACATCTTTGACACCCTGAGTGACAAGGTTGTTGTGATTAATCAGATCTATTGCAGAACCACATTCATGTATACCCTTAAAATAATGTTTTTTAATTAAGATGGCGCCATATCTTCCTTTAGACATCACCGTGTTATCTGAACCTTTCCTGGAAAGTTTGCATACCTATGTTCCTTCGACCTATAGCCTGGTTTGACTTATTTATGGATTATTTCTCTTTATATTGGATATCATGCCTGGTCCAACTTATCCTCCGCTGTGACTTATAGTCCGTAAAATACAGTAGTTTGTTCTTCTGTTTTAGTTTATGTTCCCCCCCTAATATTTTCTATACTATCAACACTAATACAGCTAAAGCTGATCCAGAATGCTGCTGCCCGTGTCCTCACTAAGACTAAGAAAGTAGTGCACATCACCCCAGTTCTAAAGTCCTTACACTGGCTCCCTGTATCTCAGAGAATGGACTTTAAAATACTTCTGTTAGTCTATAAATCTCTGAATGGCTTAGCACCTAAATACATCACAGACTTGCTATCAGTGTATCAACCCCTCAGACCACTCAGGTGTTCTGGCTCCAGCCTGCTCTGCATACCTAGAACCAGAACTAAACATGGAGAAGCAGCATTTAGTTCCTATGCTCCACTTATCTGGAACAAACTTTCAGAAAACTGTAAAAGTGCGGAAAGCCTGAGTTCCTTTAAATCAAGACTAAAAACACATTTGTTTAGGATTGCCTTCGACTGTTCTAGTTAAACAGTTCAACTAAAACATCATTAGTTCAACTTTTTTATTTTCTTTAGTCCAACTGCTTTTTTGTTTATTTTATTTTATTTATTTATTTATTTTTTCCTACTGGCTTTGATTCTGTTTTATTTTTCCTATATTTTAATCATGTAAAGCACTTTGCATTGTCTTTTTACTGAATTGTGCTATACAAATAAATTTGCCTTGCCGTGCCTTGGCTTGTCTAAACGCATGTGAGTCGTAAAATCCAATTTAAGCTAATTAAAATCAACTAGTATTTGTCAAAAATCCTGCTTACTCTTGACTGTTTAGAATCTCATTTGTAAAAAGGATGTGCCAATGAGTGAATCTAATTTAACTGAAGACGATTTACATTGAGTCAATTAGTAAAATAGGCTTATTTTTAAATCAAAGTGGTTTGATTCCCTGCTTTAATGGTAGTTTTGTCCAAAAAGGCCATTAAAATACAAAAGAAATGGATATTTCAACCCTCAATTGGGCAGGTTTTCAGTGGAACCTTGACTTCCTGCTGGTTAAAGCTTATCTTTTATTAACGGTAATTTAGACGTTCGGCAGAGGTCAACATTTCTCATTGTTTTCAGGTAAAATGAACCAGTATTTATTTGCGACTCAGTAAAAAAATGTCCAAACACGTCATCCAGTGTTTATCCAACAACACAAAGAGTGTGAGATCCCTTCTTTTCCTTTTGGTCAACAAGCCACACCTTCGTTGCTCAGCAAACACATGGAGTCAAATTTCTGCACAGACACAACTTTGTATGTAAAATTATCACTTTCCCAGGAAAGGAAGCGGGAATTCCAGTGAATGCCTGGACTGGTTTTGCTGAGAGTTTCTGAAAAAGCCTTCTTATCGGCTCATTGCTCAGATAAACGTGTGAGAAGCGGATCAAATACATGCAGGTGTGGGTATCAGACTCCTAGCAACTGTAAGAGCAGGAAGTTTATACTCCTGGATGGCCTTGTGGGTCGAAGTTAATGGTGGGAGAAAGGGGCAAATGGGGACCAGGCTGTTTTAACATGATGCTTTACGTTAGCGAGTTGCCGTCTTATAGACACTACAATCTGACCCTTGTAAGGTTACTAATAGATCTTACCTCCTGAAATATTGATGCTACTTAAAAGAAATCCACGCAAAATCACTTATAGCTGCTGTGATTAATTTAACCAGCCCTTTATCCCAAAAGCGTCCCATCTCCCAGGTTTCCTAAGGGGCAGCCAACAGTTGCCAGTGACAGCACCTGTCCTCCTCCAGGAGGTCCAGGATCCATTAATGATCCTCACATATCAGTTACAGCCTCATAATGTTTTGTTTTTGTCATATTTCTTGTAGCAAAATAACCCCTTTTGCATGTTCTGTAGTGATCACCTTTTTCTCCTTTACGGTTTTGTACTTTGGTTGTTAAATACCATAGATATTGCATCTCTTTCATACACTCCATCAATCTTTATGTCCCCATCTTTAATAGCAAAGGCAGTAAAATAGTTTCCTGTAATCTATTTTATAGTTTAATATTACAAATTGTGATTAAAAAAATAAGTCTGATTAGTGTGCATAATTTCTCGCTTATCAAAAGAGTCCATTGGCCTATGGGGATCAGAAATAATAGTATGTTTTTGTGCAATTAAATAGTGAGATTTGAGATTTTCTTCCTGTCCATCATCCCTACGTCTCCACTGCACACTAAAATGTGTTTAAAGTACAGACAGTGAAAACATGAAAGCCTCTAAAACATGAACCCAGAGTTGGTTTGCATGGAAATTTAACAATGCTATCAGGCCAAATATTTCTCTGGACATAAATGACAAAAGCACAGCTCCACTAATTTGTAATTTTCTCATTGTTCACCTGATTTTATTTATTTTACATTACTACAATAAAATCCACTGAGATACTGCAATGGGGACCTGGGCAGAAAAGCTGTAGCACACATTGAAGATGTTATACAGCACAAACATAAATCATATACAAATATAGAAACAAGATAAAAGATAATTATTCACTAACACCAGCTCAGATTAATAGATTCATGTTGCTTATTATTAGGGATTTATTAAGATAAGTGTAAAGAAATAAGATCAGAGTAACAAGCAATGTTACAATATACAAATGCTCTTAATTCAAGGAGTCTTGGGTTTTGAAAGGAATCTGAAGACTGGATAATTTCCATTTTCTCTGTCAGACTGAAGCAAAACAACATGTTTGTATTCCTCATAATTCAGAGTGTATTAAAGGTTCAGCAACAATTCTTTCAGTTTCTAATACAAACCTTCAAAATGAAAAATGTAATGAAATGAAAGGTGAGATTTTAGCATTTATACTGAAATTTATGCTAAATCTTAATAGAAGTAAACTAATATGTAATTTTACGCCAGCATGAACTATAAAAGTCAACCCTAATCCTGAGCAATCTGCTGCTGCACAAAAAAATATCAATTTTTCCTGTAATGCGACCTTTCGTCTGTGGTATCTCTGTGCAGTCCTGATGGATCACAGCTTTTATTTGTAATGCGACCCAGATGAAATTACTGTACGAATTAGGGTTTACAGTAACTGAGGGGTGAGAGAGACTTTGTTCCACTTATATGCAGACACAACCAGCATTATTGCATTGGTATAGATACATGACCCTGAATTCTGCTCCGCTTTTTTAAACAATCAATACTCACCCAGTTTCTCAGCCTCACTGTGCCCCTTTGACACCCATAGGAGACCTTCCCAGAAGATGAGTTGCAGGAAGTATGCCAGACAGTTGGAAAAAAGTCAATGTGCTTCCAGTTCCTCATTAGTATTTTAGGGTGATTATATAAATCTATCCTATTCATTGCCTCCAAGATCAATCAGTTTTCATTTCAAAGTAGAGTATAACACATTTCCAGTCTGAAAATAAAAAAGTCAATCAACCTCTGAATTCAGTTAAATTACTTTCATTTATTGATCCCAATTATTCCATTGCAATACAATGTAATGCAATTTTCAGCTTAATATAGTTTTGTTTTAATTGTTTTTTGGAAACATACATTTGCCTTATTTGATATATTTATAAAAAAAAAAGGAAAAACAATGTACTGAAGTACTGTTTTAGCTATAAATGCTTATTGAAATGTTTCTTATATCAAAAGCGTTAAAGTAGATAATATGCTGCTTAAACTTAATTTGCTGTTTTGGTTTCTGTTCAGTTCTACCTAGCAACAAGAAACCCTTATCTTAATCCGTCATCTAAATTCATGCCCCACCACTGTCTCACTGTCACCCTACTAATTACCATCATGCCTCCTAATTCCCATCTAACTGACTGGCACCTCATCTGCCTGTTCTTGCATTAGCTGCATGTGTCAGCCCCATCGGGCTCCATTAGCTGGCAGTATTATACATGCATCGGTGTGTCTCTTCATAGGGACATGCTGTAATTGAGCGAGAATGAATTAAACACATTAACAGGATCAAAAGGAGGATCTTTGAGGTGACAAGCTAATGGCAAAGTGGATGTACTCTGATTTGCATTCAAAATTTATCTAGAGCTTTTATACATGTTTCAAAAAACAGCTACATAAACCGTGTAAAGGTTTTTGTATGTGCATTATTTAGATAATCTTTAAAAAGAAAGAAAAAAATCAGGCAGATATTTGTAAATGCACCATTAGATAAAGGTTCATCCCAGTTTTTTAGATACTTAACTTTTAGATGCTTATATTTTGAAAGTCTAAGATGTACGATATTTAAGATTAAAAGGTTGTAAAATAAAACAGAAATGAGTGAATACAGTATTAAACAGAGCAACAATGTGCTTTGCGCTCCCCTGAGAGAACAGGAGGTAGGAGGGGATGGTTCCACCATCTGTGTGTGACAGACTGAAACTGATACCACCTCCTCTGGTTCCACATAAACACATACTCGTTTCTTTATATCAAAGTTTCGCGAACACAGATGCACTCTGAAACACACACATTATGACAGCAGGTGGTGACATGAAGACAGAAGCAGAGCTTAGCCTAGTCCAAAAGGGGATCATGATCACATGGCCGTCAGACGTACAAAAACCGCACATTTTACAGCATTTTCCACTATGGGTAAATAAAAATGAACTGAACAACTAAGTTCATGGTAGCGGTAGAGTTCAGCCAATGGATTTAAATTGTAAGAGGTTACAACTAATGGAAAAAGTAAATTTAGTTGCACAGAATACACAAAAATTAGCACGAGGCCAATAAAGATAATCTCAGTTCTGAAATTTTAGATAATGACTACAGAATCGTAAAGAAGGCTGCAGATTTGACAGGAGCAAAGCAGACAGTTTGCATCCAACTAGAGTAAGAAGATCCAAAAGATCAAAGGGTTTCTATTGGAAAAATGTTCATGGAAAATTAAGAGGAAGGAAAAAAAAATTGGTAGTAAAATGTTCACAATCCTTCGAATCTCCTGTTTTGGATTAAAAGGAGCTAAATTCAATTCAGAGGGGTTCATTTTTGTATTGACTTTATTTTGATAAGTGACACTGGCTTTATATCTACTGCTAGATCTAAAACTAATTCAGCAGGTTTCATTTCAGCAAGTATAATTAAAGACTTAATGGCTCGATTTAACAGGTTTTTATTGTTTATTTCAGTTAAATAAAAACAATTAGTGGAGTAAAAAGCTCACTGAGGTTTGTGTATTCCTGTTGTAGAAGCAATTTCACTGAGATATAGAGATAATTCGGACATAAATATGACTTAAAACAGTCAGCTTCTACTTAGTGGTTTTTCTATCTGGTTTTACAATAACCAACTCTTTGTTTTTCCTTTTTATTCCAGAATGTGATAAGTTGAGGAAAGATGGTTTCCGGAGCTCCCAGTACTACTCTCAGGGTCCCACCTTCTCTGACCCTAAACAGGCCAGCCTACAGGATGAAGAGGATGATGAAGATGACAGAAAGGTAGGCATTTAAAAACATGGATTTGCAGGGTAACGTGGAGAAAATGTTTGTTACACATTAATAAAGTTAGGTATTTAACAATATGGCCTAATGTGATTTCCAACACTGGGCTTCGTGGCCCACTTTTAATGCTGGATCCGTGCTGTAAAATTCTTTGGTTGATTATGCCATGAAGTCCTGTAGAAGCCTGCTAACCATCTAGTTTAGGAAACCAGTAGATCATGCTGGGCAGCAGCCCCTAAGAACCTGGTATTACTGAATCTAAGTCTGCCCTCTAGTGGTTAGAGAGGAAAATGTGACATGTTTTCATGCAGCTTCATTCCTGCTGTAATCTGTTTGACATTTTTAAAGGAGAGTCCTCTAAAACTTCAACATTTTAGTGATAAATCAATGTTCTTTTTATTTAATTTAGCCATAGTTCTGTTTTCTTTTTCTTTCTTTTTTACACAGACTTTAGAGTAGTGTACCTTTTATTCTTAGTTGTTATGATAGGTTTATGGAGAGATAATAAAATTGGACAAAACTGAAATAGGAAATTGAGCTAATGAAAGAAGAAACATTAAAGAAATGTTATTTATTTGTGCTTTTTTGTTTGAACCCATATGTTATGGACCAGATAAAAGGAAGTTGAATTGAGTGAATTGTGAAATATTTCATATTTCTGGCAAACAAAGTTTTGTTTTGGCAATGGTAAGTTGGAGTACTTGATAGATGTGGAAAAGGAAAACCCAAATGAGGTCAAATAGTTTGTTTTCCCTGTCTTCAAGTCTAAATATTTTATGTTTCCATCCATTTGCACACAGTCTTTTACAAGTTTTATAAACAAAGCCCCTTCTCCACAAAAAGTGTCTCTTTTTTTTTTTACACGCTTCTATTCCTAGGAACTGTCTGACCATAGTATAGACTTAAAAGTTTTATCCATGTTATGCAGCTTTATTTTAACTTTTCTGACCTTCCTCTCATTATTTCCATCTCTGTCCACTAACCTACATCCTGTTAGACCAGATGCAGCCTTACCCACTCTGTTGTCCTTGTCCTCATGTCCTTCGTTCTGCCGTCACTTCTTGTTGTCCTGATCCTAACTCTGTTTGACAGCCTCTTTAAGAACAGGAAACTGGCTTCATGTTTAACCTGAAGAAAATGTAGAGAACAATCCATGCTTCTTACTGCCTTGCTCTTTTTTTTGCAAAAAATTTCCTTCATTTTGTTTTTCTACTAATCTCTTGTTTGCTCAATTTTTCCTTTTAAAATGTCCCTTTTCATTTCTTTTCAACCAGCCCAACGTTGTAAATAAAGGATAATACAGAAATGTATCCTCTCTAAGAAGTTGGGAGGTAGGGAAGTTAAAAGTCCATTAAATAATATAATTTTCCCTAAACAAACAGACTTTAAATCATGTAAAAGAATATTATCATTATATCTAGAATGATCTACCCATTGTTGGTTAAATTAAGATGGGAAACAAAAACAAAGTCTGATTCTGCACACTGCTTATTAGACGAAATGATAGAAATCTGGAAACCGACACAAATTCCTAAGAATTTAATAGGAGCTTATAGCCAGATTCTGAGCTTTAACTAAAGCGCAAAAGTAGTCTTAGACTGGTAATGTCTAAACTGTCAGCAACCAGACACACATGATAAAAAAAATAGAAAACACCTTTTTTAAAGTCAGAGTTACTGTTATTGAAACTCTTACTTATTTAGCTTAGATGGTTAAATTGTTCGCTCTGAGGATGGAAGGAGCTCCAAAACCTGAGCTGAGTTAGTTAAGCTGATCATGGTGGAGGGTGAAAACAATACTAGATACTTTTACACAAACATCTCACAAAATAAAGGGAAGGACTGAATATTAAACACAGCCAAGCTTCTTGCAGCCAAACTGCCTTTTATAGACTAGTAAAGGGAGGAAGGGGTTAACTAGTCGGGCACATGCAGACAAACTCCTATAGCATCAAGGGTGAATTTTTGCTTTAGACCAGGGGTCTTTAATGTTTGCCAGGTCAAGGACCCCCAAACTGATGGCAAGATGGAGCGGGGACCCCTAATTATATATAGTACGAAATTGTGTTATATCAAACTGGCCCGATAGTCACTCTATTACAGATGGATTTATGTAACGAAAGTAATTTCTCCCTGGGATTATTAAAGTATTCCTGATTCTGAATCCTGGTTGATGGGACAGGTGTTGTGAAGGAAACGGTGCCCAGCTTGAAAGAGCTCCTGTGTGTCGCTGAATGTGTGCATTGATGACTGAAGGACATCTTCTACCTTATTTATCTGTTTACCACTGTGTGTTGAATTCATCTTAATGTGGATTTAAAGACAGTTCAATCAGTGGAAAAATTTGCAGGGGGGAATATAAAAAAAAAGTCTAATCAGCCAAAACTTTCGCGACCCCCTTTCAGTACCTCCAAGGACCCCCTAGGGGTCGCGGACCCCCTGTTTAAGACCTTCGCTTTAGACTACAGTCATCATCCTGTTATCCCACTCATCAAAAAACATAGATAATTAATACTCTGCTTTCACAAAAGTTTGCCACAATCAACAATAAATATGGGAGCACTGATCGATCAGCTGGCCCAATCTACCTACTCGTGAAACCAAGCTTATCCACCGATCTTATTTACCTTCAAAAAACATCTGAAAATCAGCCATTACTAAAGCTCCAAACTTTCTGTTTGGATTAAGAGCTCTACTTTATGCAGATGAGTAGAGTTGTCCTATGTTTACAGGCGTGTTTAAATGTCGATTGAAACATTGAAGTTCGTAGATGACCTTATGATGCTTTACATTGTCAGATATAAAGAGAAAATTTAAGAGCGGCCAAAATCGGACAGTTCAGGCTTTTTAAAGATCCGTGATTGGCTTGAAACTCTAATGATAAATACAAAGTTAGAAATGAAGTACTTATCATCCTAATGCTTTCTGAATATACAAACCAGTTTTGACTGATAAGGACATTTTTTATTTAATTTTAAGGATTTAGAGAATAGCCAGTAAAAAAGAGACAAAGCATGGTTTGAACTACCAGGCTTCCACCTGCATAGTTAGCTTGGGTCTAATCTATGGTCCTACGGGTCAGTTTGACCTGCAAAGAAAGACATCTGTAGATATGAGCTTTGCTTTAAGAGTTGGTCAGTGTGTAGTACAAAACCTCAGTGAGTTGCGATTGCAAACAATCAGCGCTTTAGTGGAAACCAGTAATTTTTTGCAGCATTTTCCCTCAGATGAAAACACAAAGTTGTTAAAATGTCTGTTTCACTGGAGAGTAATGGCTCAATTTAACGTGGCTGTCTGCTCCACTCTTCATTTTCACGATTGAGGACTCTTAGTGTGTCAGCTCAGTTTACTGCTTGAATGCTTTTGTCTCTCTCCTGGCTGCTCTGCGGCTTTTATCGTGCCATCTTCAGATGTTTCGTCAGTTCAATCAACAGTTTCCATTTGGATCTGACTGATCGTAAAACATGTTTAGGGCTCCAGAAACATTTAAAGGTCAATCCATGAAGAATCTCCAATTGATGCATTAGGACAACTCTCACGAGTTTTTAATGCTCAGTCTCTTCTACTCTTGATTTTTGTCCTTCTGATTGCTGCCTCTCCTCACTGCTTCTTTCAAGCTTTGTATTTTCCACCACATTAAACATTTACTCTGCTGTCCTCCTGCAGTCGACAGCCTCATCAGCGGAGGATGACAAATCTCAGCTCTCCATGAGATCTCCGACGCCGCAAGCAGGTAGCGAGACAGGGGAGGCGTCTGAAGCAGACGGACGGGTGGTATGGAACAAGGCCGCTCCCCTTCCCACCCCGGAGGAGAAGATGAGGCAGGTGGCTCAGGCTGTGCCCACAGATGTGGTTCCTATCAACATCACAGGTACGTTAGATGTCCCAAGGCACAGCCAACCAACCTTCTGCATCCGTCCTCTTTCTGCTTTACTGATAACTTTTATCAGTATTTTGGTAAATCTATTCATAAAAACACTTTGGGTTTAAATTCAACCCTAGTTTTTACAACATAATAAAAACCAGGGTCATTGCTTAGTCTGGTTATACATGTTATTAAATCTGATAAAACATGGATAAAGAAAATAATGCATGAAAAAATACTGCTTTCACATTGTCTAAAATATATCCATCCATCCATCTATCCATCCATCCATCCATCCATCCATCCATCCATCCATCCATCCATAATCTATCATCCATCATCCATAACCTATCATCCATCCATCCATAATCTATCATCCATCCATCCATCCATCCATCCATCCATCCATCCATCCATCCATCCATCCATCATCCATTTATCATCCATCTATTGACATCTATCATCCATCCATTCATCCATCCATAATCTATCTTCCATCCATCCATCCATCCATCCATCCATCCATCCATCCATCCATCCATAATCTATCATCCATCATCCATAACCTATCATCCATCCATCCATAATCTATCATCCATCCATCCATCCATCCATCCATCCATCCATCCATCCATCATCCATTTATCATCCATCTATTGACATCTATCATCCATCCATTCATCCATCCATAATCTATCTTCCATCCATCCATCCATCCATCCATCCATCCATCCATCCATCCATCCACCATCCATCCACCATCCATCCATCTATTGACATCTATCATCCATCCATCCATCCATCCATCCATCCATCCATCATCCATTTATCATCCATCTATTGACATCTATCATCCATCCATTCATCCATCCATAATCTATCATCCATCCATCCATAATCTATCTTCCATCCATCCATCCATCCATCCATCCACCATCCATCCACCATCCATCCATCTATTGACATCTATCATCCATCCATCCATCCATCCACCATCCATTTATCCATCCATCTATTGACATCTATCATCCATCCATCATCCATTCATCCATCCATCCATCAACATCCATCCATCCATAATCTATCATCCATCCATCCATAATCTATTTTCTATCCATCCATCCATCCATCCATCCATAATCTATCTTCCATCCATCCACCATCCATTTATCCATCCATCTATTGACATCCATCATCCATTTATCCATCCATCCATCAATCCATCCATCCATCCATCCATCCATCCATCCACCATCCATTTATCCATCCATCTATTGACATCCATCATCCATTTATCCATCCATCCATCCATCAATCCATCCATCCATCCATTGACTGTAATCAGGAGCTGTACCACATCATCTAGATGGAAATATCTGTCTGCCATGCAGGTTTAGCCTCATGTTACCGTCTCTTATCCAGTCTTAATTGGTTTTTGACCTTCACCTTTCCTCTAAGCATCTGTGAGTGAGCGTTTGTGTGAAAATCAGCTGGGGTCAATGTTATTTGACAGATGAACATGCCGCAAGACTCTGTCGTTACAACCCAATTAGTCTGGAACATCTCATTTTAGTGTTTAGGAAACAAATGGAAGCTAGATTTTTACGTTAATTGACCCTTTATGGATTAGTAACCTACAGCTGCAGACATTATTTGGAGCTTAATCTGCTCTCACTCAACCTGTTTAGTATCGACTGCAACTGCTGCGGCCTCAGGTTGCTGAGCGGACGTCTAAATCACACATGCAGACTCATGGAGTGATAAGAGACTTTACTGTCACTATGAGAAGAAGCCAGAGAGACAATATCTGGCATCTTGTCAAATCCTGCCTCCCTGATACGCTGCAGCATTTCACTAACCAGCCGCACACAGCAAATTAAAGAACTTTACTCTGACATTTTCATCTTCATTAAAGGGAAACTAGACAGAAAGTCACCATGAATGGACACACTCCATGTTATATGCTCTACGCATGTGGATGTTTCACCTATTTGTGCCCAAGTCTCTTATATTTAAAGGCAGAAATAAACTAAAAATATTTCAAACTTTTTTTTTTTTTTTGACAGAAAAAGATTATAGTCTTCTTAAAAAAGGATAATAATAAAGCTGTCCTTGGAAACAGGCAAACCTTTGTTGACATGATAAATATTTTTTGCTGTTTTTGTACTCTGTCTTTGCCTTTCTTACACAATGCAGAGGTTTCTAATTGTATTAGCAGATGTGTCAAAAGTATTAATGTTTTTTTATTGAAGCAAATGTTTGTATTTTTAAAGCTACTTAAAGTATAAAAGTAAAAGTAATGCAGGAAAAATTGACAAATGCTTTAAATTCTACTGGTTACTGCGCTACTATATTAAAGGAGCATTTTTCTACATTTCTGGATGATAAATTCCTTATACTTAGGTTTTTTAGTTTTATAACTAATTACCCTGTCAAATTTAACTGCATCATCTTGAAAAACTCTTTATTTTGGTATGTAGTGAACAACAAGTTGGTGCAGAACCGAGTCCAACCACAAAGAAATAGATTTTCTAGATGAAGCTAATTATTTTGAGGGTTTTTGTTTTTTATTTTTTCAAATACCAACAGGCTATAAGGAAAATAAGCTTAAATTACCCATAACTAATACGTGTATTTTTAAAATGTAAGAAGTGCAAAGTAAAGATAATTGCAAAAAAAAAAAAAAAAGTAAGCAATGGAAGTAAAAAGTAAAATTTCTACTTGGGTAAGGTAATGTAGTATTTGTACTTTGTTTCTTGACACCTCTGTTTATTAGAAACATCTGCATCAAACATCATTTAATCCCTTTTGGAACAATAATATTGAATAACAGCTTATAAATGGGTAATTATTGGTTTAGTTAATAAAAAGTTAATACAGTCAATATCTTTGCTGCATGGAAATAATTGGGGCTGATGGAACCTGTTGATTATTTTTTTTGGTGGGTTTTCTAAATTTCAGGAATATATATATAATATTAATTAATAATAAATATGATATTTTAGTTAAGAATATGACTTTAATCTTTCAACTGACCTTCACTTCCTGACTTGTTAATGTTGCATGTTGAGCTTTAAAAAAAAAACAACCCAAACCTTCTGCATGTTGTTGAGTTTGTTTCCTCCCACTAACCAACTGCTGTTTGCCTGTGTCTTGCCTGCCTTTGCTCTCGCCCTCCCGGCCACCAGGGGCAGTGTTTGACCGCCAGGCGAGCATCCGGCGCTCCCTCATTAACACTGACACCGTGGCCCGCCGGCCCAAGAAGGTCAAACGCAGAAAGACTATATCAGGGCTGCCTGACAACATCAACCAGGAGCTAGGTATGGATCTCTGCGAAGCCTTCTGCGCCAACCCTCTGCATGAGCATCCTCCACTCTGTCACTACCTCTTTCTTTATCCGCTATGGCTATCCACAGTGGGTTGGGTTTTTTATACGGAGAAAAAACACATATTTTCTCATGTTACAAACACAAACTTTTTTGTTTAATGGAGATTAAATATGACAGACCAACAATTTAACAGTTGGCCCCGGCTAAAAGCTCTTGGCTCTGTAAGTGTTAAGGGCCCTTGATGGTTAAGTGATTAATTAGCTCCATCCATCCTTACATTAACAGGTTTATTTGTCCTTGCAGAAGAAAAGCGTCGCCCATAGCACGATGCTTCCACCATGGCTCCCCTTGTAAACCTTGCAGATCGTACTTTGTTTCCAGCTCCTACATAGTTCCCATGGGCTACTTCTCTAATTAACGCTCCTCTTGCCAGTCAGCTCAGTTTAGGTGGATAGACCTCTCTGGTTCCATTATTGAATGATGGACGGAGCAGTGTTTATTTTTTCATCCATATAAATAACTTTTTTATGCAGGAACAACTGCCACCCGATTCCTCACCCGATTTTTGCTAAACTGTAAACCAGATTTCTTATCACTTTCTACCCAAAGTGGTGTTCGTCTTGCTGCGCTTCTCTAAAGAAAAGACCTGTTTGTTTGGCATCTAGTATTTGTTCAGATTATGGATTATACAGCTTAGGATCAAGTCTTATTACCTAATCCTGCTCTAAACTTCAACACTAGAAGTTTTCAACTTGGGGGTGGTGATAAAACCAATGGTTTAATTTCCTTCCCCTTTGAAATCAGTCACTGCTGACTGGTGTTGGTCTGTGACATTAGATCCCAGAATATAACATTTGGAGTTTATGAGGGTAATGGCCAACTTTGGAAAAATTCAGGCCTTATGAATTGAGGTTATTGGACAAAAGCTTTGCAGCGGCTGAGAAATCACAGGTTCATTTCTGCATATGTGGCGTTCTTATTGAGCCCACAGCACAGAGATGGTTACCCTTTCATGGAGGTTAGCTAAGCAATAAAAGTTTCATTTTATATTAAAAGTTAGTCTCTCTATGTTTGTAAATTGTGAAGATTTTACGATGATTAATAAAGTTCTTTAAGAACATATGAGGTTCAAAACAGCTTTAAAAAGGTTTAGTGGTTCTCTAACCTTAGTGACTCTGGGTGTGAAGCGACACTAAGCTCTTAAAGCTGACAGTGCAGCATGACTAATGTTTACATTTCGCTCAGCTGTCTCATGGTAGCAGCATTCCATATCTCCTTTCTTTCTGTGGTCACTCTGATCCGTCAGGATTGATAGAAACAGAGCTTTAAAGTCTGGTTAGTGGCCCCTCTCGCTACAGCTTTTTGATGTCAGCACGGCTCGCTCCGGGGTAATTGTCCCGGCATTTCGTCCCTCCCTCCTTTAGCGCTGGAGCTGCCTGCAAAGTAGAGATGCAGCTTAATCTATCTATTGCAGCAGAAGCAGCAGCAGGCGAGCTGTCAGTCGAGCTTTTAGCAAAGGAGGGAGAGGGTGTATGTGTGGTTAGGAGGAAAGAGGAGGAAAGGACGCAGGAGTGCGAGTGCCAACACAAAAATACCAACAGGAGAACCACAACAAATGAGATTAGACGTCCTTTCTCTGTATCTTCCCTCTTCAGTGTTTACAGGCCCCTATGGTTAGTATACAGATTTTTACGTCTTCATTTAGTGCATGTTGTTGTTTTGCTGATCATGATTAAGCAAGTTTGCGTTGGAAATGCATGATTATGGGTCTTTGGTGTAAATGTTAGTGTGTGTTGGGGTCAGTGATCTGTTAGGGTGAGTTATAAGATTGAGAGGGGGGGCGGGGGTGTCTGCCATCCTCATTTCCCCCTTAATGAGAAAGAACAGATGCTACAAGGGTACGGTAAATGTAATTAGTAGTTTTCCGTGGCTGTTTTTTTTTTCTTTAAAGTCCAGTCGGATGGGAAGGAGGCAGAGAAAAAAGAAATAAATCTCCTTTTCTATTTTGTTTCTCCACAGCAGCTAAAGGGCGAGGCGGAGAGCTTCGGCCACATTCGATGTTCATCCCAGGTCAGTACTCCACCCTGGGCCGAGCTGCCAGCGTCAACTCCACCCTAAGACACTCAGACACCAGAGACTCCAGCTGCCAGACGGAGGAAGTGAAGATTGTCCCCCCGTCCATGAGAAGAATCCGGGCGCAGAGAGGACAGGGGATCGCTGCTCAAATGGCCGGTATCTCTGCCTCCTCTTCAACGGGAAGCATCTCCGTCTCCAGCACTGACAGCTCGGGGGTCGTGATGCTACCGCATCAGTTTAACGGGGACCCCTCCCGTTTTCACAGCCTCCCACGACAAGGCGCCAGGGTGTCCCTCAGTGCTGATCCGATCTACAGCAGCACGCCCATAAAGTCAGAGGAGCAGCCTCAGAGGCAGATAGGGAAGCTTCAGGTGGACGACACTGTGGTGCACATGAGGAATTCCCCAAGAATGAACTCTCTACCCAGGCCAAAGTCTCAAGAGGTGAGGAGGACTACAGAGTGGGGTGGCAGTACAGCATGCGTAGTCTCCCCTCATGCTGCTTATTCCACCTCCTACATCCCTAACGCCACCCTGTCTAGCTCCACTGAGGTGATGAGCCTCAAGCCCTCCAACCAGTCGCCGGTTTCAGTCTACCCCACATCTCGAGCTCTCAACCAGGCTTCCTCCACCAGCAGTGACCTCTTGATGTCCAGTCCGACAGCTTTCAGCCACAGTCCAGCCTTGGCCTCCTCCACCCCCCTGCACACGCCTCAGGACATCAGTCTGCCTCCTGGCAGGCCAGCGAGTGAGTCAGGTCACTCCGATAGCAGCATCCACAGCCACAGCACACTGGCCCCCACTCCGCCATCCTGCCTCCCAGAGGAAAACTGGATCTATGACACGCCTGAAAACGTGGTGGCTCCACACCGCACCCTGACCTCCAGCTGCTCCACCCCCATCAACCAGCTCTACAGCAGCTTGGACCACTCCTCCAGGACCACCACCGACTCCAGCTCCCTCTACTCTCAGGACAACGACGGCTACTACACCTCTATGCACCTGGACTCAGGTTTACGTTCCCGCAGCCACGGCAGCGGCAACGGCGCCACACTCGGACGCGCCTCTAGACACAGCATGTACGAGTGTCGCGAGGCGGTCGTCGAGGAAGACTCTGGCAGCCTGTACAGTGACCGCTCCCTCTCCCGCAGCATCTCCCTACGCAAATCAAGGAGGCCGCCTCCTCCTCCGACTCGGACAGACTCTCTGAGACGTAAGCCTGCGGCGAAGAAGCCCCTTGGCGGCGAAGTGTCGAACGGTTGCATGCTCAGTGAGACTCTGATCGCCAGCTTGCAGCAGAGCTTACAGATTGGACTGAGAGGGGGGAAGGGGAAGGGCGCCTCACCCTCCTCGCCCTCCCACAGCCCGAGCAGTGACTATGACGATCCCTGGGTGATGCGGTCACGCAGTCAGAGCAGTATCAGCGCCGGGAGCTCGGCAGCCTCCCTGGCAGCTAACGCTAATTCTGCGGCCCTGCAGAACGTTTACTCGCTCTGCCATGTGACCCCCACCCCCAGCGACACCAGCAGCCTGCGTTCTGACTACGCAGACTCATGGGGGTACTACTCAGACTACCCGCGTAGCCAGACAGACCAGCGGGCGCAGACGCCTCCCGGCCACGCCACAGATAAGCTCCCAGGTGGCGGTCATCCAGGAAAGTTCCAGAACGGAGGTCAAACCCATGGGGGTTCAGCCCAGGAGGTGGAGGCGTCTGTGAAGAGCAAAGCCGGCTCCTCTCCGGACAGGGTGCACAGACTCACCTCCCCATCCAGCGGCTATTCCAGCCAGTCCAACACCCCCACTGCTGGAACGCCGGTACCAGCTTTCGTCAGGTCCATGTCTCCGTCAGGTGGCAGACCCAAACCCAGAGTCCCAGAGAGGAAGTCCTCCCTCCTCTCCTCAGTTTCTGTCTCCTCCTCCTCCACATCACTGTCCTCCAACACCTCAGACAGCCTGAAGAGTTGTGCCCAACCACCACCTCCTCCTCCACCGCTGCTCTCCTCCTCAGCTCCCAGCACCCCTCTCAGTGCTCCTCCACCCTTCCCTCCGCCCCCTCAAGATGCTTCCCTGGATCCCCCCCCTGCTTGCTCCACTTCCTCTGATTTCCCTCCTCCTCCACCGCTGCTCTCCTCCTCAGCTCCCAGCACCCCTCTCAGTGCTCCTCCACCCTTCCCTCCGCCCCCTCAAGATGCTTCCCTGGATCCCCCCCCTGCTTGCTCCACTTCCTCTGATTTCCCTCCTCCTCCATCCCCAGACATCCTGATCCATAGCAGCTCGTCTTTCAATGGGAGCCTCAGTCCGCCACCTCCCCCGCCTCCTCCCCCTCCCCCTCCACTGCCTACTTTTCCTTTAGCGTCTTCCTTGCCTTTTAAGAAGGGAGCTAAAGATCCTCCCAAGGCAGGTCCTCCCAGTAGCCCCTCAAAGTCTCCCAAACCCCTCATCACCCTGTTTGCACTTCAGAGCGTTCAGCTCCGCTCAGTCAGACGACAAGAAAATGAAATCAACAGTAAATCAGAGCAGATTGAAGCTCAGGAAACCAGGATAGAAACCATTTTGGGTGTGAAAAATCAGGACTGGGAGCCACCCAACTCTGCAGAGCCCCCCACCGCGCAGACCGGCTCTACTGGGCAGGATTTGCACGAGACCCAACCGTCGCCAGTGTCAAAGCTCCTGGAAGAGCTGTCACTGGACGGTAGTTTCTCCGATGAAACACCAGATGGCGCTGATATCAACGGGGAATCCAAGGAACGGAGTTACTGTTTGTTAAACAGAGAAGGAAACGAGCATCAGGACTCGTCACATAGCTGCGAAGTGACCCCCATCAAACAGCCCCCGGCAGTCGCCCAGAAACCAAAAGTTTCACTAATCCTCCCGTTTAACCAAAGCAAAAATGTTAGTGTGCATCCTCAGGATAGTCTGTCTATAACCCAGGCAGCAGATGAAGTGGATGCGCTGCCTGGGCAGATGAAGGAGGAGCTGATAGAGAGGACAGAGCAACAGGATGAGGAAGATACCAAAGAGCTGTCAGGGGGAGGGGAGACATCCCCTGACCAGGAGGACTCCTGCTTTACATCTGAAGATACAAGTGTTGGTCATCATCTTCCAAATGGAGAGGTGCAGGAGGAGGAAGAGGAGGATGAAGACGGACTGAGCAGCACCACCGGGTCCATCAGCTCCAAGGATGATGATACAGGTGAGTCCGAACTCTAATTTGTATAATTCTGAGGAAAATGGATCCTAAAAGTGTTTTTGTTGAAGACTTTGAGGATCTGCTATGGTTAGAAGTTGAGCTGCTAATTGCTGCTTGGAAATATGAGAACTTTGATTATTTGTGAATGGAGAAGGAAACTTTTGAGGAAACATAATTTAACATGAAACCCCCCCACCCCCACTGTCAGAGTATATATTATCTCTCTTCTTTTCTCCCATTCCTACCCCTCCCTCTCTCCCACTCTCTCTTTTTTGGTACGAGGTAACGATGGGGGCACGTGTCCCAGGGGAGATGGTGTTTTGTGGTTGGAGGGATATTGGCGGGGGGGAGGGGCCACATGGTATCAGAGTGGAGGGAGGGGAACTGATCCGGTAGAAAGGATGAAGCGGAGGAAGGGGCGAGTGTAAACTGTGACTGCAGGCAGTTGATGCTCAGACCTGAGCGAGGAAGGATGGGAGGAAAGCAGAGGAGGATGTAGGCCAGCCAGGGATGCTCCTCTGTGCATAGAAGAGGAGCAGCATGGACACCTGAGCCTCTTTTCAGTTCTATGATTTAAGATTTAAATTAGTTGCCTTTTTTCCTCTCTCTCTCCTTAGGGGAGGTTTTTGAACCCAGTACGGCTGAAGCATCTCCGTCCCCGTCAGTAAACGGGGCATCAGAAAAAATCATGGTGACCCCAACTCCTACTCCTGCTCGACCCAGAACCACAGAGGACCTCTTTGCTGTAATACACAGGTAGGAGCTCCTTCCAGCTTTCCTAATCTCAGATGAAATCTTCCAAATTTGTCCTCCTTTAGTCATTGCCTCTGCTTTAAAACCTTCTGTAAACCCCCAGCTTCCTCTTCCTCACCCTTTCCTCACAAACTAATAAGCCCCTTCCCCCCCCCCATCACCCTTCAGGCCTTGATTTCTCTTCCCTCAGCTCCCCCCCTTCACCTCTTAGACATAACTTTAATGAAAGCATCGCTGCTGAAGCAAACTCCTCTTTTCTGACTAGTGAAACTACAAAAAGGGACGACTCAGAATGAGTCATTAAATGTTCATGAAAGCATCTGTGTTCATTCAGTCACATTATCATTGCTCATTTTCAACAAAAGAGGGGGAAAAAAACACAGTTTCTTCATTTATTATTAAACTATTGAACACCCTGAAATCCTAATCTAGGTTAGAGGCCACCGGAGATTTTCCCCATCTTCAGTTTTCATGTTTCTGTGACACACTCTGCATACATTGCTCATAAATATCCCATGCAGCCCGCCAGTTTTGTGCTCCACTGTCACGTGCAGCAGCTGCAGATGGACTTCATCCCGAGCAACACAGCGCTTTTTTTTTTCCTTATCCGTGCTCAGAAGATGGGTTCTCCGTGTATTTGCGGAACCCGCTTTATCACGTGTACAAGCATGGTGGTGGTGTTGTGCAGCCTAATTAGAGATGAAGACTGCACGTAGCTCCGGGGCAAGTTATTTGTATTTATTCGGCACACTCCTCCTACTTCACACCACCTGAGGGGGACGGAGCGTAAAGAATAATTTCACAGATTTGGGGACATGAATATTTCTATAGATATTTAAACCTGGGAGGAAGAAAAACGTATAAACCTTAATGATGGAGGCTTTTTGGCTGTAAAATAGGCAAAAATTCAAATAAACTTGGGAATTTTGAAGCAACACTTTTAGTGGTAAAAAAGTCTAAAGAAAAAAAAAAATCTTATACATTTCTTATAGTTTTTATTTTTCGGCTTCTTTATATTCTAAGGACTTTAAAACATGAGAGAAAAGCATGAGCAGCAGGTTCCTTTTTAGCGATGTGAAGATTATGTGGGATTTATACCTTGTTGGTATAAATCTCACATAATCTACACCAACTTTTTTTTTTTTTTAAGGTTATTTATCACTTAAGAAGAGATAAAAGATTTCAGGTTTGTTTTGCTGATCCCTGATCGGACTCAGTTTCTTATCTCTTTCCAATAGGGTGATGCGTGTTTAAGTAAGACAGTAATAAACGGCTTGTAGAATTTTTTTTTTATGTTTTCAGTGATTGATTAAAATCCTGAGTGGAAACTCTTCCGATTAAACCCTGGAAGCATCCAGGAGGGAAAGATCGATTGTTTGCTCAGAGCTCTGTCTCATATTACCAATGTGATCACCTCTGGAACTATTCATGCTGTTCAGCGTTGTCACAGCCCACCGAGTTCAGGTTTCCCATCTTATGCAACATTTAAGTGATGATGCAACGTGCAGAGGGAGGCTGCTTAGATCCTCTAAAATCAGAGGACTCTCACATCAATCGCTGGTGTTTTTTAGTCCTCCCCTCCTTTTTGTGACCTTCACTATGAGGTTTAATTTTCTCCAGTTATTTTTCCTGATAGCAGGGTTTCTTAATGAATACTTTAGGATTAGAGATTCTGCATGTGTCCTTCTCTCATATCTTTACCACCTTCAGCTTCAGATGCTCTGCATTTTCAGTGCATTTAATTACATTCTCTCCGCGACGCTGTAAGGTGGTGTACTGGGTTATGGGATCTGTATATAAATAAAATTCAGACAGACCCAGATGAAATGTTTTAGTTCTTTTTTTTTTTTACATATTTTAGTAAAACATTTTCTCTAATATTCTGATTCGATCACTTTGGCCTAAAACTGTATCACTGTAGCACAGAAGGCACATGGTCCTATGACCCTATGAACAGGGTCTGCTGACTGCTGCAGGATGCTTCATCCCCTTCAAGATACGTGAAAAAATCTTGAGCTTGAATTACTACTTTAAATATCTCTACTTTTAATGACCAATTTATTATGTTATTTACTGGTTTATATTGGCCAGAGATGCGCCGATCCAGTTTTTCTATCTTTATCTGATACCGATACCTGGGTATCGGTATCAGATAAACATTGTTAAAAATGGGTAACAAATCAACACAGATTTAAATTTACTTTATATTATTTATTAACAAGTTAACAGCAAAGAGAAAGATATAAAAGTTCCATGTAAAGTGGACTGGATTGGATCTCCGCTTCAGGTATCGGATCAGATATCTAAGATTAAATATTAACAGAGAATTTAGACAAAGCAGTTTATATTTTAAATTAAAAGACTTGTGTATTTATTTATTTATTTTTTTAATATGAAAAGGGGTTTATCCCTCTGATGTGTCGAGAAGGGCTGCAGTTAATAGATGAAAACATACTAGAGCAGGTTGAAAGTATAAGTGGCTCTTTACAGGCTTACTGCATTGTCTCATAATCAGTCATCTTAATTTAATCCTTTAAAAATAACTGTAAGAATACATCGTTTGATTCTATATTTGCTGCTGCTGCCATATTTTTTGTTTGTCTCAGGTGGTGATATTCATCCGCGTGTTAAATGATGCAGATTAGCAAACAGTCCAGTCAGAACAACTGTTCCTGGAACTTTCTTAGTGCAGATTTTCAGTGAAACATAAATAAAACATTTTTAAGTGAGTCACAGTAGATGAAGTTCTCACTTTTACCCGATTTAGATCTGTCAGGTTTTATGCTGGGTTGGTCAACCATTATCCTACTCATATAAGAGTCTTTTCAGGGATTTGGAAGTTTGTGGATCTTAGGCCAGCGTTGATGTTTACAGGCGCTCTTCATCCAATTTGCTTGAGAAGTTTACTGATGTGTAGAAATAAAGACCTCCTCCCAAGCACTGGCAGCTGCTTCCACATAGTGTTGACTCAAAGCTGAACATCAATACATGCTGATGTTTCCAGAATTACCTGTTTATTACAATCTTTAAAACTACCATGAAATACATTACGGTTATAGTCAAAATGTTCTAAGCATATATATGACATATAAAATACATATATGTGTGTATTTTGTCTCTAGGTTATCACCCTTGTTTCTGTTGAATTAACTCTTATTGAGTTCCTCTAAACATCTGCTGAATCTACTGGTCTCTGTGTCCACAGGTCAAAGCGGAAGGTCCTGGGGCGTAAGGAGTCTGAGGAAGAAAAGTCCCGAACCGGCAGCCAACCCCAGTCTCCTCCATCAACCCCCACCAGCCTGTCTCCAGGATCACCTCTGCCCCGCCAGTCCGGCCCCATCCAGCGCAACCTCCGCAAGACCTCCACCAGCAGCGACACCTTCAAGGCCCTCCTCCTCAAAAAGGGAAGCCGCACAGAGACCAGCTTCAGGATGTCTGCCGCCGAGATGCTTCGCTCCACCGACCCGCGCTTTCAGCGGACGCGCTCCGAGGGCTCTATGGACCCCGCCCTGGCTTCGCCCACCTCACCAATGGCTCCAAACAGCCCCTCCAACTCTCCAGGCAGAGGTAAGAGGGCGACAGAAGAGTGGAGCCGCTATGACGCCTACGGCCTCTCATCGCCCACGTCTTCGCCCTACTCCATGGGCATCTCAAAATACGGACGCTCGCGCACGCCGCCGTCAGCCGCCAGCAGCAAATACAACGCTCGCAACCGACTCCTCAGCAGCCCCATGACTGTGATCTGTGAGCGCGAAGGAGAGCTGGCTGAGAGCGAGTGTGGAGAAAGCGCGGAAAATCAGTCCGAACCAGCAGTGCAGACTCTCACCGTGCTTACAGACTCTAACGGCACATGAGGAGCTGAGCTCCTGTGGAACAAACCTGGAAGGAGTCCTGAGGAGGAGCCTTCCTGAGCGACCAGCCCCCTCAACGCTGCCTCTGAAGGGTCCGACGTGACGCCGGCGGTCGCCTGACCATTCAAACCTGTCTGACGTGGGAAAATGGTCCTGCTCCTCTCATTTCATTCTCTCCTCAATCTTCTAGCAATGTCCCTCAAAGTACCAGATTTGGAGGATGAACTGAAGTGGGCTGAAGGATCGCAGGAAGCTAAACATTTAAGTTTGCGGCTGTGTTGTTTTTTATGAGAAAGATCTGCTTTCTGCTCAGCTTGTAAATCTCAGTTTCTGCTTTTTACTGACTGGTTTTAGAAAGTGACTGATAGCAGCCGTGTTTACAAATGTCAAAAAGAAAACCGGATTAAGGATGAGGTACATCAAACATAAAACCCGTCGGTACACACTCTAGAAACACCAGCTTTTCATCAGTGGTTCATTGGGAGAACACAGGGGCTCAGTGCTGCCACCTAGAGACTGGATCATAACATCTTCACTTTCTGTTTGTAGACTTTTGCACTGTCCATAGATCTGTTTTTGTTTGTGACCTTAAAATATGTTTTAAAGATGATTTTATTCATGAGTTGTGTTTGGGAGTTAAATATGAACCTGTAAATGTTTATTAAAGAAATCTTATGTTATTTTCCAGCTCTTTTAGTTTTGTAACCAAAGAGTTGAATATTAAACAGAACTGGCTGTTGATCTGAATTCAGTCTGTGTCTTTATGTCTAATAACAGATCTATTTGGTGTTTTAAAATGATTGACACTGTCCAAGTAAATCTGATTATTTTATAAACTTAAGGTTTAGAGCACTTTTTTCCCCTCTGTTAAGAACTGTTATTACTCATAGATGGGTATTGTTGTTGTTTATAGATCTGGGTTGATTCACATGTTCATGTCAAATTTAATAATTTGTTTCTTTTTCTGACTTTTTTTTAAAGCACAAATCCAAAAAGATGTTCAGATGGATGGACGATCTGTCTCTCATAAACATAAACCATTCTATGTGATGTCTTCCTTCCTGATTTTTGCTTACGTGTTGCTCTCTTATTAAATATGGGAAATATTTGACATGTCACAGAAATGTAGATCACTTGTAAACACCCTGTTAGACTTCCCTATTTAATGGGGGAGTGAGAAAATAATAACAATAATTCAAAATACCAATATCGCCATACTTTATAAAAACATTGTTATTAATTCAAAATACGGCTGAATGGATCTTTAATGTTAAAAAAAATCGATGCTTGATAGATTAGTTGGATGGATGGTTAGCACACAGATGGATGTTGGATGATAATTAATATATAGCATATTAAGACAAGAGGATTGGGGATACAAACTGGAAATACAAATGTGCTTTAGAATTAATAAATTTCAGAAAAAATTGAGAATTGCTGTTTTAAGACAAAACAAGAGGTGCATATTTTTGCAGATGTCCTTCAACTGCTCCTGTCCTCATTCTTAACTTCTATTAATCTGTCTCCGGGGCTCACAGCTGAGTAAATCTTGTCTCTTCAGATTAATAAACCGCATTGACAGGCGGGTGATGTCCCAGCCATGGCAGCCTGAGGGCCACTGTGCCTCCAAGCTGCCTCCTGGCCGTGATCAAGTGTTTGTTTCGTGACAGGAAGCATCTCAGATCTGGAGGTTTGTTAGAAGCCGGCTGGCAGAAAGGGGTGGGAGTGAAGCGCCGGGCTCCTTTGAAATATCTGTAATAAAAAACTGTGATTTTATTTATGTCAGTTCCCTCTGTGTGTGACTCAGAGCCATCTGCCTGCCTGACACACCTAATCATATCCTCATTAGAGCTGTGGTCATAGCTCCCATGCTCCTGTCATCCTGTAAGCTCAACCCTTCCCCCTCTGTGTGGTCATCAGTTACATCTGGTAATCCCCCCTCTCCCCACAGGTTTAATAAAAAACAAACATTTCTTCCTGCAAGGTTTCCTCTCAGGACCTGAACGTGAGTTTCCACCCCTGATTCAGCAGTCACCTGTCCTCCACAAACTGCCTCCATCTGGCCATCAGATGGGAATCTATACCCCTCCCTGCTATAACTGCACTGCTGACGCTTCCTGCTGTCTTCTCGTTAACACATGCACTTATACAGGGTTTGATCAGCAGCCACGCAACGCAGGCTGGTCAACATGATGCAGCAGCTAAAACCAGAACATTTTACATCCAACTACTATTTGCATGGTTGATCATTTGTTCTAATTTTCCTCCAGGGTTAAATGTAAGATTTAAACCTATAAAAATCTTTAGAAAAGGTTTTTAGGAAATTTATTCTGTATTTAGTTTTTTTTTTCTATCTGGCAGGGAAGATGTTCCAGTTTTTAAGATCCCCTGCAAATGATCAGACTATATTAGAGATGCATCGATCAGTCAGAATGATTCATCAGGGTTTTACTACATGCAACTTTATTTGTGAGAATATGTCCTTATTTCAACCTTGTTGCCGCAGATTGCATTGATGTGCCATCCTGGATGAGCCACATTATCTGAGCCACTGTGGGTTGTAGAGGTCGTCTCATACTAACCTGAGTCTGAAAGCAAAACCAACATTCTGAAGTGACCAAAGAATAAACCAGAAAGCATATTTAGTGAGAAGTGATGTGTGGTCGCCACCTGCAGAACCACTTCTTTATTTAGTGTTTCTCGCTAATGCCAATAATTTCCACCTGTTGTCTATTCCATTTGTAGAACAGCATGTGAATTTAATTTTCAATCAGTGTCCCTTCCTAAGATTTAATTTCAGTAAAGTATCATTTAATCCACGTTATGTTGTTTACATGCTCTATTTTTTTTAGCATGTTTCCTACTTAATCCAGTGTTCTATTTCAACGTCCCTTTGTCTTCATTCATCCATCTGTTGACTTATCAGACCTCAGTTTGTCCATCCAAACCATATTTCTTTTCTACATCAATCCGTTTGTCCATCCATGGAAAGAAGCAGTAATTTTTTTCAATCCATTCTTCTGTTATTTGCTCTTAATTTAATATAAAAATGGGCTTAAAATGACAGAGTATTCGCCCTCTAATCTTTAGAATCCCAGTTCTGGACCCAGGACCCTTCATATTTTGTAATTGATTGGCTCTGATCAGTGATGTTGATCACTGATCAGAGCCAATCAATAGAAAGCTGGGTATCTGAGTGGTGCTTTGTTTAGTCTATCTAGTTCCTTCAAACTAAAATAACCTTTCATACTGAAGGCTGGCATACTATAACACACAGTCAAACACCAGAAAACCAGGTTTGCTTTCCATCCAAATTAGCTCACGCAGCAGGGATACAGTCAAAACGCCCATCTGTGGTGTTTAGATTAAAACCCCTAATTTTAGATTTGTTCCTGGTGCTAATGCTGCGCCTCAGCGAGCGCCATGAATCAACATTAAAACTAGGAGGGTGTGTTTGTTTTTTACTAAAAGAGAAAATAGGAAAAAAAAAAAAAAATTCTGCTGATTTTTCCGAACATGATCCGGGGCACCGTCCTGCCACAAATAAAACCACTGACTCAGCAGAGATAAACCTTAGGAGGATGAGGAAGGGGAGCGAGGATAAAGGGCAGAGCGAACAGCGGAGAAGATCTAATCCGGCTGATGAAAGGTCACCGTTGTCTTGAGTGCAATCGCAAATTTTACGCATCACAAATTAAATGAAACAAAATGGTATCTGTGAAATTAAATAAAAGAGAAACTTGAATCATTTCATTTTTTTTTATTAACGATAAAATAACTTTACATTCAACATCAAATAGAAGCAGATAATCAGCGTTAGTTTCTCTGAAAAAAACATAATTACTCATGTAAACAAGGCATTATCATGTTAGTGCTTATAATTACTCCCAGATATCTAAAAGGTTTGCAGGTTGGAGGCTCCAGGCACCACCTGCCAACTTTACGTGTGACATGACAAGTCCAGAAATAGATACTTAGTCGTTTATCATGATGGATCTGATAGGAGAGGATGTGAGTGAGGTCTGAGAGCAGATAAACAGGGATTAATCAAACTGGTGGACGACTGAAAAAGCTGCAACAAACCTTCAAAGTTAAGCACAAAGGTTCATTTAATAATTTTTTTCTGGTCATACTAAAATTAATAATCTGATTTCTATAAAACAAAAGGTCTCCATTTCCTCTAGGTTTGCTGCTGTGGTGGAACGGAAAACATTCTCAGCTCAGATCAGGCTTCATGGAAAAGCCGTCGGCTGTTTTCCCAATGCAGAGGCCACACGTGGAAAACAACGCTCTGCTCGGATAAGAACAACATTAAATGTTATGCAAAATGATTGGTGTGGAGGAAAAGTAAATATATAGTAAAGCTAGGTGATGAAAACATCATGCTGTGGGGATTGTTTTCAATCGTGTAGAAAGATGGAGCCAAATGTGAAGGAGTAGAAGACTTGAGACTGGAGGTTTACAGGTAAAAAGCCAGAGCTCCAAAGAAAGTGTTTACCTTGGTCATGTGTTAGAACTGCTGATCAGATTCCAGAACTAATAGCAAAATAATTTTTTACATGTGATCAGAAAACAAGAAAGTGCTGAAAGAGACGTCAGTAAGGCACTGAAAAATAAAGAAGCATCATGATCCTAAACATTATAAGAGAGTTCTGAGACTTTCTGACATGAGATGGACTAGGTTCTCTGATTCTTGGTCCATGGACCATCGCAGCAGCTGCTTAAAAAGAAAAAAAACTTGGCTTTTAAAAACTAGATCCTTTCAAATTCAAAATAACATTTTAACTAGTAATTAAGCTCAAATGTAAAAAAAAAAATCCCTTTTAAACAGTCAATAATATGATAAAAAAAAAAGAAATCACAAAATTATGGTATATTCATTGTATTATAGGAAAGAAAAATAATAATAATCAAGGCACTCTTTCCACTTGGTTCCCCCCCTGCTGGACATTTTCTATTATTAAGGTTTTTCAAGTATTTGGTCATCAACATCAGTAGGTTTTTGTAAAATTTATAAACTCCTCCTTTTTCATCATTCTTCAGAAGCTGCTGCTAGTTGGATCCCAACTACTGCTCTGCTTTCTTGAGGATCCACACCTCGTTCCTGCGGTTGGTCAGCTTGAACGGGGCGTCGTACCCGGCCGTGTAGTACGGCTTGTCCACGAATTCGACGCCGTCCCTCTTCAGGCTCTCCAGATGCTTCAGGAGCTCTTCCCGCCTCGTATTTTCATTGGCAAAACCTCCATACGTCCTGGAAAAAAGGAGTAGGATTAACACCCTGCAGCAGTGACTCCCACTAGGAGGTAAGCGTACCTCCTAGTGGTCGGTGAGTGCATTGCAAGGGGTACACCAAAATATTTTAAGCATCTTCTGCCTCCATTTATCTGTTTACTACAGTGTGTTGAATTCATGTTATATGTATTTAGAGATATTTCAATTAGTGGAAAGAATTGTAGGGGGAATATAAAAAAAATAAAGTCTAATCAACCTAAACTTTGGCAACCCCCATGCAGTACCTCCGTGGACCCCCTGTTGAAGACCTCCGCCTTAGGCAGTAAAAATAAATCGGGCTGGGATCTGTTTTGCTTTGTGAGGACCCAACTGAATAATTAAACAAGCTTTTATTAACCAAAAAGTTAGTTTTTCTTCTATCTTTGAGTTCATCTTCAGCTTTGACACACATCAAAACCATTTAGAGGAACAGACTGGATGTAAGGAACAGCCTGAGATCAGCTGGTTTTCACACTGAGCTGTCGGAGCTCATTAAAGCAGCTCAGGTGCAACAAAGTAAAACTAATAAAGTCAGTCTGACTATTTGTTTTGTTCTGTATTTTGTTTCTAATTCATCAAGTTTAAATGTGATTATAAGGGATTTACTCAATGGAGCTCCAGTTTTATAAATACAGGTTTATAATAAGATTTTATTTTGTATTCATTTTGATTCTTGCAAACTTCCAGGCAACATATTAATGTTTATTTATTTGAGATGGAAAGCATAAAATTATAAAAAATTAAGTGCACAAATATAGAGAGATGCAGATATATAGAGGTAGATATACAATCAATAAAAACATATTAAATAGGATAAAAAAAAAAAAAAAAAAAAATTAGAATAAAAAATAATTTATGGTTTGTGCAGTGAAGATAATGCAGCTCACGCATGTCTGCTGTGTCACGTCTGCTTGCTCGAGTGAGGCTTCACTTTTTCACTTTTCATAAACAGGTTTGCACTTTTGAGACAGTTTTGACACATCTCAAGTTTAAACTGTCCGATTTACAAGTTTGCACTTTGTGTTTAAAATGACAGGAAAAAATAAAATACATGAGTATTTTGAAACGCAGTTGAACCACTTTCACTATTCTATAAACAGATCGAATCGAAATGAATCGATTTAGAACTGTATGAATCAAAATTGAATCGTTTCAGGACTTTGGCGAAAATACCCAGCCCTAGACACGAGTCTACTAGTACTACTACTAATGTTACACTAAAAACCCTGGGTTTATTTGTTTTTTTCAGACGAGGGCCACTCCTGGGCTTGATGCGGGCATGGCTGTGGGTGCTGTAGACACTTACGCCTTTGTATCTTGCTTGTATTTTGTTATCATTAACATCTACTGCTCATAATAATAATTTATAGTATATTTTGCAGGATTCCTCTCATGATTCTTTATAATGTTTGTGGTTTCTTCAAACTAGCAGATGTACACATGATGTTTGCAGAACAGGCTCTTTAAGCTGGTTTTCTACCTGACATATGCAGTGAACTCTTTCCGCTCCTCCATGAACACATCCGAGTCGCTGGGCTCAGGTGGGTTTGCCTGATGCTCATCTGGGATGTAGAAGGATACGGTAAACTGAGATTCGCAGGCGGGGCCGGCTCCAGGGACCACACGGCACGTCACAGGGGCGGTCATCTCCACTTTAGCCTCTAAAAAAAACAAACAGCAGTTGCCAGGATTTAAACACACGCAGAGCTTACACTGGGGAAATTAGACGCTGGTGTTTGAATGCATCACTTTGGTGTTTAATGCTTCCTGAGCAGATGGTGGATGAAGAAAGATCAGACCCTGAGTTTACAGGTAGCATACCCCCCCCTTCTGCTGCACACCTCAGTATTGAACAACACAAACAATGTATAAAATCATCAATAATGCTGCTGCAAACTGCAGAGTCAGAGGAAAGCTGAGCTCTAAACTGCTGAGCAGGAACTAAAGTTCCCCATCTATTACATTTATTCATCAACTTCTTCGTCTTAAATTGCAGATATTCTTTAACTTCATTCACTTGACTGGTTCCTAAAAATTAGGTGTATAATATTTTGTTAAGTCAAATGAGATATATGTATAAATAATAAATACAAAATGTGCATCTTTCAACTCTGGAGGCACAAAGAACATCTGAGAGTTTCACACAGACTCACTGTTTTGGTTGTTCCCTTGAATGTAATTGAAGAGCTTTCTAAAGCCGGTCTTTATACATTCTTCACTCTGCATCCCACTCAGAGTGGTGCTCACCCACTTAGCAGCATGGTAGGTGCGGATCTCATAGTCCTGGCTCTGTTGGACACAGACAAACACACTTATTGGAGCTCAGGCCTATGATGCTTATCCATTATCTTTTCAAATGAACAAAATATCAGATCAGTTCCTCCGACACTGCAGATGGATAAAAGCCATTTCATCCCAGCGCTCCGTGTCTCGATCCTGTAACATCATCAGCGACCCCTCACACCATGTGCTGCCCTTTAGAAGGAGTCTTCGCGGCATTCGATGCAGGACCAGCAGATTCTGTAACAGCTTTTTCTCCGCCGCCATGCTGAACTGTTGAAACCCTAATCAAGTCACAAACCGTGACTCTGCATCACACTTGAAAACATCCTGAGATCAGCATCATACTTGCACTACATGGTTCGTTTTTAAATCCCTTTAAATAGAACTCGACTCAGTGTTCTACTGCATTTTGCACCATTTTTTTTTTTTGCACAGCTCTGAACCTTCCATATCAATACCTTTTGCACCATTTCACTCCAATACCGTTTGCTGCACTTTATAAATGGAAATGTTCTTTTTTCCACTGCTAAGCTGCTCATTCACTGTCGAAAAGCTGTATGTAACAAAATGTTGTTTTGTATACACTGTGTATACAAAATGACAATAAATTTTGTCCAAGTCTGAATACTTTGCAGAAAACCAATCTGCATCATTCAGTCATGCCATGAAGTTGTCTCAAATTTTAGAAATGCGAGAGCATGAAGGTTTAAATATTGCTTAATCGAAAAAGAAATACAAATACCCTGTGAAGTATTTACACCCTGCGATGTTCTTTGGTAGCAGTCCTCCAGAGTAATGCAGCCCCTTTATTTATGCACATTACCTTCTTGGATTGACCTGATTGGTTGTTTAAGTTTGCATTTTTCAACATTAATGTTCTACAGGTAAAATTCATATTTTCGAATTCATGCAAATAAAGCACATGTACATATTCAGCTTTCCAGTAAACAAATGTTATATTCAGAGCAGTTCAGAGGTTTATCCACCTTGACAGGAGTGTTTTACCCTAAAGCAGGACTATCTGATTCAAGTTTTAAAGTCAAGTGTCTTTGGATGATTTATTCGGAAACACAGGACATTGCTGTCCAGGTCAGAAATTAAAGCCACTCCAGAGGGTTTCTAAATTGTCTTTTTGTACATTTTTTTATTTATTTATTTATCTATTTTTTTTTTAACATTCTTTTCCTTAATAACATCTTTGCACAACTGAGATCTTTTTAATTAATTACTAAACTCTGCTTAAAATATGGCTTTACCTTACAGGGTGCAAATGACTAAACGTTTGAAATTTTATTTTAGTTTAATTTTATATAACTCAGTGCAATATATAATATATATGTATATACCGGTATACAGGACTGTCTCAGAAAATTAGAATATTGTGATAAAGTTCTTTATTTTCTGTAATGTAATTAAAAAAAATCATGAAATGTCATACATTCTGGATTCATTACAAAACAACTGAAATATCGCAAGCCTTTTATTGTTTTAATATAGCTGATTAGCTGAAGAAAACACAAAAATCCTATCTCAAAATATTAGAATATTTCCTCAGACCAAGTAAAAAACAAATTATAACAGCAAAACAAAATCAAACATTTGAAAATGTCCATTAATGCACTCAGTACTTGGTTGGGAATCCTTTTGCACAGATTAGTGCATCAATGCGGCGTGGCATGGAGGCAATCAGCCTGTGGCATTGCTGAGGTGTTATGGATGCCCAGGATGCTTCAATAGCGGCCTTTAGCTCATTTGCATTGTTGGGTCTGGTGTCTTTCAGCTTCTTCTTCACAATACCCCACAAATTCTCTATGGGGTTCAGGTCAGGACCACTCTGCAACTGTCCAGTGCTTCTTTTCTATAGCCCAAGTCAGACGCTTCTTCCGTTGTCTTGAGTTCAGAAGTGGCTTGACCATGGTAATACGGCTATTGTAGCCCATTTCCCGGACACGTCTGTGAACAGTGGCTTTTGATACCTGGACTCCAGCTTCAGTCCACTGTCTTTGAAGCTCCCCCAAATTCTGGAAGCGGCTCTTCTTCACAATTCTTGTAAGGCTGCGATCACCTCTCTTGGTTGTGCAGCGTTTCCTGCCACATTTCCCCCTTCCAACACACTTTTTGTGAATGTGCTTTGAAACTGCACTCTGTGAACAGCCTGCTCTTTGAGAAATTGAGAACTTTTTGTGTCTTACCCTCCTGATGGAGGGTGTCAATGATGGTCTTCTGGACAGCAGTCTTCCCCATACTTGTGATTTAGTTTACTGAACCAAGCTGAGTGTTTTTCAAGGCTCAGGAAACCCTTGCAGGTGTTTCGAGTTAATTAGACGATTCAAGTGATTAGTTGAATAGCCTAAAAGTATACTTTTTCACGATATTCTAATATTTTGAGATAGGATATTTGGGTTTCTTAAGCTGTAAGCCATAATCAGCGATATTAAAACAATAAAAGGCTTGCGATATTTCAATTGTTTTGTAATGAATCCAGAATGTATGACATTTCATGATTTTTAATTACATTACAGAAAATAAAGAACTTTATCACAATATTATAATTTTCCTGAGACAGTCCTGTATATATATATATATATATATATATATATAGTTAGCTCTTAGTTATAGAAAACATATTTATTGTGCAGGGATAAGGTCTTAGCTCTGTTACACTGTTAGCCAAGTAATCAACATTTCGTTGTCAAGATTCACCTTGTGTTTTTTTTGTGCAATGACAATAAAGGAAGTCTAAGTCTAATTTTAGGATTAATATTTGAAGTCCCTTAGCGAAGACTCAAATTCTTAAATCTAAAGGTGCGTTGACTATATATTTAACCAACCAGTTTGAATTTTTATCAATTTTCCCTTCGATTTAATTTCCATAAGCACAGAAGAATGTTTAAGGTGAAAGTTGTTATCCTGTATTTAAAGGAAAAAATGTCCACAATAGTAAATACTTTAGATCCATATAATTCTGTCCTCCAAATCTTGTTAGGGTTACCTTTTTATTCATTCACCTTCATTATTTTTTTTATTTTTTTAATCATTTAATAGTATAAAAACAATCATGTTGGTTAAAATATGGCAGCATTCTGATATTTCTGTCTGATCTGAATGTTTTTCTGAACTAAACTTTATTCTGTTTAGGATTATTAAGATCTGGGGTATCAACTATCACACAAATGCAACAAAAATGAAAAATAAAAGTAAACAGAACAAAGGTTACAAGTTCAAGGTTCATATTTACCCAACAAATAGTGACTAAAGTCTGTCAGTATACTGGAGGAAAGACAGAATCCCTTCATTTTTCTAATCTAACAGGTTCAGTCAGTGATATCTCACTGAACCAATAAAAAGAACAGAGCAGATAAAAGATCATTTAACTGCTTAACAGTTTAACTGTTATATTTTTGGTCTCATGACAGACAGGAGCTCAGAGCAGGTGTAGGTCTGAAGTTCTGCTTTTATGAGGAGAATAATTTACCTTGGACTCTTCTGCTGTGAATTTGGGATTCTTCAATCCAACGGAGAATAAAGCTTGTCCCATAGCTTTCAGCATGATTGATGAGCGGCTGGTCCTCAAATTAGAGAAAATCCTCAATGTTCAGCTTCCAAACTCCTGCAAACAGCTAAAGGTGTCCATTTTATCTTACACAAGAGCGTTACATCATCTGTTTTTATTTCTTTCTGGCTTCTGTGTGTCACCGAATAAACTTTATCTTCTCACTTTTAAATCTACCTCACTGCTCCATTGATAACATGTTACTAGAATAATAAAACAATTACCCACCGATAGGAGCGTTTGATCCTCGGCTTCACGGTGTCCGAATGATCCGATCGCTTCCTGTCACTGAACTCTGACTCCTGATTGGTCGCTGACACTGAACTCTGGCTCCTGATTGGTTTCTGTCACTGAACTCTGACTCATGATTGGTTGAGTGACTTGAACTTCAAAATAAAATACGTGATCGTCGCAGGTTCAAAATGGGCCATTTTATTTATTTTTATTTTATTATTATTTATTTTATTTATTATTTATTTTTTTTATTTTTCTCTTAAAAAATATTTTAAAGTAGTAAGTAGAATATTACACAAAATGATTAGGGCCACTGAAAAAAACTAAAAAGTTAACTGATTTTTCATATTTATCTCAGTATAATATGGGAAAAAAAGTCCGAATTCTGACTTTAATCTCAATATTCTGAGAAAACAGTCAGAATTCTAAGATCAAAGTCAGACTTTAATCTCAGAACTCAGAATTTTTTCTCAGAATTCTGACTTTAATCTCAGAATTCTGACTTTTTCCTCCAGAATTCTGTTTGTTAGCCGTCAGAATTCTGAGAAAAAATGTCAGAATCTGAGATTAAAGTCAGAATTGACTTTTTACCCATATTAAACTGAAATGATATTTAAAAATCAGTTAACTTTTTTTAATTTTTTGCAGTGGCCCTATTAATTTTCCATAGAATATAATTAAGCCTGAAACTACTATTTCTGACAAATTAAAAAGAAATATATACATGTCCACCATTTTTTTTCAAATTGCATTTTCGCAAAATTAGACTTTTATTCGTGTATGCACCTGTCATCAACTCAAACTATTTTATAAAAAAAGACAAGATAAAACAATCAGAGCTGAAAATTGGAAAAAAAAATATTTCCCTCATGCAGATACAATGGAATGTAAGCTTTTTTTTTTTTTAACTATGGGTTGTTGTTTAATCTAGTTATTAAAAATATAAAAGCATTACCAATGTCTCCACATTTATTCGAAAACCTTACAATTTTTTTTATTAAAATAAACCTTTTCCCCTATATAAGTCATCGTAGATATGGACCTTTAGACAGCAGTCAACCATCTTGTAGGTATTTGAATGGCCTACTCTTGTATTTCCCATTTTGAAGAAAAACTGACTGTTTAATCTATTTATACGCCTGGACAAAAAAGCACAGGTAGCTGAAAATTCCTTAGACAATTAGATCTTGTTTATTTTTTCATAGTGGGACCTTACCCAATAAATGAGGTCTCCCAAATGGTTGGCTTTTTCTAGAATATTCAGTTTAATGTTATGAAACTAAAAATCAAGACATACATCTATTGATAGATTTAATCAAAAAGGGGCCACTGTACATGCAAGATAGCCTTTATTAAAGCTCTAAAATATATTTCACTTTCACAAAGCCATGGCAATACCATAATCCCTTACTATTTGATTATTTACACCCAGTAACCAAAGAGCTCACTTAACAGAAAAAAACAAAACAGTTTGTAAGATTTATTGTAGCTGTCAGAGACTGAGGCACAAAAACCAAAGTTGAAACTTTGAATTTCAGGTTGCAAAAATGGGGGGGGGGGGGGAGGGGGTTGTTACATTAGCTAGAGGGAAAATAAAAGCGAGACAAAGGCAAGGAGGTGCAGCTGGTTTTAGTCTCCAGCTTCTTCTTCTCCAAAGAGGAGTAATATTATACCAATAGTACAGACGGCTACATTGACCATGTAGGCAGATGCATAGTTCACCTATTTAAAACCTCTCTGTCATTTGTAAAGAGATGTATGAAAGCACAGCAAAGCAGATCATGAACAAGAAGAGAAAAACATGAATGTACAGGAAAAGGCAAGGCATGGTCAAAACAACAGCTTTTTCATTGTCTCTATTTTGTTGTGAAAGGCCAGTATGACTCAGTACAGTATTGAGGGCAGACTGGTTTGACCAGTTACTATCATTGGTACAAAGGAGAGCTTTTCTGAAAGTAGTCAAAAGAAGGACCTTGATAATTGTCTTAAAGCAGTTTGATGAATCAGACAATAGGTTGAGAGGCTACATGAAAAATAAATTATAACCAAGAATCTACAGTCCTTTTATTGTCAAATAAATACGGATCAATGGAACGCCGCAGCCAGGCTTTGCGTGCTCCATCACTAAACGCCTCCTGAATCTTTAGTGGTTCTTCAGTACTGGTGATGCTGGTGGATAAAGGTTAAAAATTCATCTTTGGACAGTTTCTGAGGGTCTATTCGGGTCTGAGAATCGTGGACGATGACTCCATCCACCCAGGCCCAGAAGAGTCGCTCAGCATAACAAACTCTGCAAAAACAAAACGCAAATAACACATAAACCAGATATTTTAGTGGTTGTTTTTTTATCCTTTCATTCTGCACTTCTTACATTTATTTATTACCTTTAATTACTTTTTTATGTAACTGACCACCAGATATATGTAAAATTTTAAGCTACAAAGACAAAAAAGTGGTGCAAAATTACAAGTGGAAGGAAAATGGTGATAAACGGGATACATGGTGACTTAATTTGTAATCAGTCCACCTTAGTTTACACACGTTATATCCTCCTGCTGCCACACATACAGCACCAAGCATCCCCACGCCACGATAGATTCACCTAGGGAACAATGCTTTCACTTTAATGCCCAACTTTCTGATGTTCAATTTAGGGATACAAGTACCGATTATTTTGCTTATTGATAAATCTATCGATTTTTGGGGGGATTAATCAATTAATAATTAATCAATTAATCAATAATTAATCAATAATTAATCAATTAATAATCAGATATAATTACTGCTTTTCTTGGGTTGCTCTGTCAGCTAAAGGCATATTTTATGGTCTCTATACTTAATTTAACGATTATTCCAATCCTAAATTGACGATTATCTCAATAATCTATTAATCATGATTAATCCGATTAATCATTTCAGCCCTAATTCAGTTACATAAAATCCCAGTTAAAGTCCTTAAAGGGATAGTTCGGGATTTTTGACATGAATCTGTATGGCATCCCCATCACCAGTGTCATGCAATCACACTGACTTACCCCTGGCAGCATCCTGTGAGCAGAGTTCTCGTCCAGCTTTGGTCAAGCCGAAAGTAGTCCGGCAGGTTTGCTAGACCCAGCGAAATAAAATGTTTCTCTTCCCAAAACATTACAGGTGCTGGTCATAAAATTAGAATATCATGAAAAAGTAGATTGATTTCAGTAATTCCATTTAAAAAGTGAAACTTGTATATTATATTCATACATTACATACAAACTCATATATTTCAGATGTTTATTTTGTTTAATTTTGATGATTACAAATGACAACAAATGAAAATCTCAAATTCATCATATCAGAAAATTAGAATATTGTGAAAAGGTTCAAAATTGATGGCCCCTGGTGCCACACTCTAATCAGCTAATTAACTCAAACCACCTGCAAAAGCCTTTAAATGGTCTTTCAGTCTAGTTCTATAGGCTACACAATCATGGGAAGACTGCTGACTTGACAGTTGTCCAAAAGACGACCATCGACACCTTGCACAAGGAGGGCAAGACACAAAAGGTCATCGCTAAAGAGGCTGGCTGTTCACAGAGCTCAGTGTCCAAGCACATTAATAGAGAGGCGAAGGGAAGGAAAAGATGTGGTCGAAAAAAGTGTACAAGCAAGAGAGATAACCGCACCCTGGAGAGGATTGTGAAACAAAACCCCTTCAAAAATGTGGGGGAGATTCACAAAGAGTGGACTGCAGCTGGAGTGAGTGCTTCAAGAACCACCACACACAGACGTATGAAAGACATGGGTTTCTGCTGTCGCATTCCTTGTGTCAAGCCACTCTTGAACCACAGACAGCGTCAGAAGCGTCTTGCCTGGGCTAAAGAGAAACAGGACTGGACTGCTGGTGAGTGGTCCAAAGTCATGTTCTCTGATGAAAGTAAATTTTGCATTTCCTTTGGAAATCAAGGTCCCAGAGTCTGGAGGAAAAGAAGAGAGGCACTTCATCCACGTTGCTTGAAGTCCAGTGTAAAGTTTCCACAGTCAGTGATGGTTTGGGGTGCCATGTCATCTGCTGGTGTTGGTCCATTGTGTTTTCTGAGGTCCAGGGTCAACGCAGCCACATACCAGGAAGTTTTAGAGCACTTCATGCTTCCTGCAGCTGACCAACTTTTTGGAGATGCAGATTTCATTTTCCAACAGGACTTGGCACCTGCACACAGTGCCAAAGCTACCAGTACCTGGTTGAAGGACCATGGTATCCCTGTTCTTAATTGGCCAGCAAACTCTCCTGACCTTAACCCCATAGAAAATCTATGGGGTATTGTGAAGAAGAAGATGCAATACACCAGACCCAACAATTCAGAAGAGCTAAAAGCCACTATTAGAGCAACCTGGGCTATCATAACACCTGAGCAGTGCCACAGACTGATCGACTCCATGCCACGCCGCATTGCTGCAGTAATACAGGCCAAAGGAGGCCCAACTAAATACTGAGTGCTGTACATGCTCATACTATTCATGTTCATACTTTTCAGTTGGCCAACATTTCTATAAATCCTTTGTTTTTATTGGTCTTCAGTAATATTCTAATTTTCTGATATGATGAATTTGAGATTTTCATTTGTTGTCATTTGTAATCATCAAAATTAAACAAAATAAACATCTGAAATATATGAGTTTGTATGTAATGTATGAATATAATATACAAGTTTCACTTTTTAAATGGAATTACTGAAATCAATCTACTTTTTCATGATATTCTAATTTTATGACCAGCACCTGTATGTGTTCAAAAGAGTGATATTTTTGCATCCCAAAAACATTGTAGTGGAAAAAGTCCTATTTTCTCTCTGTTCGTATCAGTGCGCGCCGTCATTCTGACAGCGAGCTCAACTTGTCCTGTTGTTTGTGATGCAGACAGCAGCTGCTGCAACTCCGACATCCTCATCAATGGAAAGGTTCTGTATCTCGGGCATTACTAAATCCCACTCGTGGCAACAGTAGCATTCCACCTCTGTCTGCATTAATTCGCACTTGAAACAAGTGCACCATGATTTGTCGGCCACCCTGGATATCGCAGCTCCAGCTGAGGCTCCTGCGGCTCCGGCTTCAGCTTCCATCACTTCTCTGT